AGGCACAACACGGTCGAGAGCAATTTATGCAAAATTTCTTGGTGATGTTATAAAATGAATTACATATTCAAACTGTAGACAGTGGGAAAATAAGCTTAATGTGTGAAGATCTCAATCTCCTACACCAACTGTGTTTAAAAAAAGCAGCCCTTAGTATTTTAATGTTCTACAAGATTTCAAAAATTTTCCTTGAAGTTGGCCAACTGGTATATAAATGCTCTGTATTTTTTCTAACATTTGATATAATACAATGGGGATTTCTTCCCAGCATACTGTACTTAAGGGAAAGGATGTTCTGCAGAACTGCAGTAGGGGGAGGAAAGGGTTAACACTTTTTTCTTTTCTTCTGATGTAATCTTTATAATTATCATGCCTGAGATGGATCTCTGGAAATAATAAAGGCTTGAAATGATTTGGCTCTAAACTAGAGTTGGTGAGCCTTCAGTAAATGACTTTAAAGGCAAATATCTGTTCCTTGAACAGTATTTGTCTTTAGACTCTGAGACACATACATTCATTTTTTAACTCTTCCTATTTTTTCTTCTTCGCTTTCTTTTCTTCTTGCTTTCTAAACATACCATTATAGTACTGTTTCCTTTGATTTCAGAACCAATAATGTAGTTAGTGTGGAATATTTTAACATTTTCATATTCTATTCTGATTAGAATCACTCATATTAAATCTTAATATGGACTGCTTTGGTTACGGTTATTCAAATAAACTATGGTTAGACAAGCTTTGGATTACCACAGTTGGTAAACCCAGAGTATAAGGACTATTGTACTGAAGTACATTGTAACTCCCAACTGTGGAATCTCAAATTTATGTTTTTAGCTAAAATGCATTGTGGATTATCCATATTATTGAAATATACCATCAAAAATTAAATAGAATTGTACTTTAAATCTTGGTCAAGGATCCATACATTTTTATTCAAAATAATAGAAAATGGAATATTAATTGTGGTGATGGTATCCTGATTACGGAAATTAAATGGGATATGTCATTATTAGATTATTTGATGTAACACAGTGATTAAACTGCTTGACAGAGAAAGTGTATACAGTAGTATTCAACCAGCAACCTGATTAAAAGGGACAAAAGTGTTTTTACAATTTGGGTTTTAAACAAGCTTTGTTAGTGTAAATATTTTAAAAGTTTGTTTTAAATCTGTACTTAAAAGAACTCAAATGGAAGCAGTAATATTTACAATTTAAGGGTTTTGTGGTGCTATAATTAGCCCCATGACTTATTCTTTACTATGGAGTTCAATTTTGACAGAATTATTGTTATTATTGTAATATTATTTTATAAGCTTTGCTCCCCAGTAAGCAATTTTTTTCTTTCTTTATTTGAAGTTGAATTGCCAAATTCTTTCCAGCTGCTACCAGTATTTTAGGGAACTGTGGCTGGGACCAAGGAACTGTGGCTGTTGCTTTTAAGTTCCCAAGACCCAGCATTCTAAAATAGCTTCATTGCTGAATGTTATCGGAAGCACTCTAGCAGCTGAATGTGCAAAGAGATCTGAAATTTGGCTCATCAGGATTTGAAAACGAATGTGTTCAGCTTTTTATCCATATTTCAGCCTGAGCAAATTGCTTGCACAGCTTTTCAATTTGAGCAAAATGATGCAAGCAACAGCAACATTTACACAAAAGTCAGTCCATTTTATCTCACATTTTGCTTTTTGTTTTTTTTTTTAATCAGAATTTTGATCCCTGGCGATTTTAAACCAATTAGACCTGTATCTTTTTTGTTGTTGTTTTTTTAAATAAAGACTTTAAGTTAATCACTACTTTTCAGATCAATTCAAGAACTAAAAGAGGACAAGATATCAGAGAGAGAGAGAGAGAGAACATGATAAAAGCAACACCATACTGTTACTAAATCTGCTTTAAGGCACAAAAATGTAGCAGCAATCACAACCCTGGACAGACAATCTCTGGTCAAAAGCTAGTCAAATGGGCACCAGAAAAGCAGCTGTAGGGTGTTCTCCAGGAAAGAGATGGCATACTGGATCTATCCTGCTCACTCCTGGCATGTTATACCTATGGAGACAAGACAGGGAGAGACTGACTCCCCAGATGCTTCTCTATGCATAATAGACTCCAGTGGAAGAAAGCAGATGTATGGATTGCCCAATCCAATCTTAAACCATAGAGTTTCTCGTGGGGCCACATTGCCATAACTCTGCCTGCAATTCAAGTTTATCAAATATTTTTTTATCTTTAAAGACTAATAAATTGAAGCACTGTAACATAAAAAAGGAACACAATATTAGTTTTCAGACTCAGTTTGGTAGATCATTGGAAACTAAGTACATATTTTTTCTGATGAATTGTTATCATTGCATGGGGAAATGTCACCAAAAAAATAACACAACAGCAACAGTGTTTTGCCACTGCTTCCTTCCTAGGCTGAGAGAGAAACAGACCAGGGCTCAGTTGGCTTTCTATCTAAGAAGGGATTAGAATCCACAGTCTCCTAGTTTCTAGCCTGGTGCCTTAACCACTGCAACAAATTGACTTTCATAATTATTGAAAACTGGTTCCATTTGTACTAGTTTTATTAACAAAGTGTTTCCTAAGAATTACCTTCATCTTTACAGATATACCGTGTTTCCCCGAAAATAAGACCCTGTCTTATATTTTTTGAACCCTGAAATAAGTACTTGGCCTTATCTCTCTTGATTTTATGATTTTATGGTTGATTTTAAATTTTGATATGGATTTTAAATTGATAAATTTTAAACTATGGGCCAAATTTAATTATTTTAAATCTATTTTTAATCGTACTTTATGTATAAATGTTTTATTTTGGCTGTTCACCGCCCTGAGTCCGAAAGGAGAAGGGCGGTATAGAAATTTGAATAATAAATAAATAATAATAAATAAATAAAATTTTCAGGGATGTCTTATTACTTTGGGGCATGTGGAGCAAGATGGGGCTCCTCTTGCAGTCTTACCTGATTTCCAGCTCTGTCTCCCTAACCCTAACCAGGGGAAATGGCGGGGACTGGCTGTGCATGCATTTAAATATTTTCAGGGAGGGCTTATTTTTTGGGGGGGGGGTTATTTTAGCACATGCGCTCAAAAGCCCGATTGGGCTTATTATCAGGGGATGTCATTTTAGGTGAAACAAGGTATTTAAAAAACCCTCCCTTTTTATGACTCTGTATTAATAAATACAATTTAAAATTTCTATATCACTATAACATCCGTATTTATATATGGATATACATCTATATATCTATACACACACACATCCATTTCTTCAATGCTGTGCATTTCTTCTTAAAAAACATAAAAATGTACCATGTTTCCCTGAAAATACAATCTATTCAAAAAATAAGGCCTAGCCTTGACCTGATTTTTTTTGGGGTAGGCCTAATATAAGCCCTACCCCAAAAATAAGCCCTATTGAAATGGGTGGGCATGGCCAGCACAGGTGGCAGCCCTTCCTTTCCCCAGTCACCTCAGAGCTGCTCGGCCCCTTAATCGGGGCCTGCTGATCAGCTGAGCCACTCAGGCCGCTGCCTCCAGTAAGCGTGGCCACTTTTGTAGCCAATTGCGGCTGCAAAACAACTCGGAGGCCAAGCGACACACCCCACACGCTTTGCGCCCTCGTTACCTAACAGTGACAGTCACAGCAGGCAATTCTGTCCATGGAACAACTGCCCCATGAGTGCTGCTCCGGCCGCCGCCTCCAGCAAGTGTGTCCAGGCAGGCAGGCAGGAAAAGGAGTATAGGCAGGAAAATCCCACTCGCAATTTTCCTGCCAATCGCCGAAAAGGCTCCTCCCCAAGCCTTCAGCAAGGCTTGGATTGCAACGCTGAACGCTCGGCAGGAAAATTGCAATGGGGATTTTCCTGCCTGTACTCCTGAAGGCTCCCCACTGCTTGTTTTTGGGTGGCAGCTGCGTGGCTCGCTCGATTGGCTCTATGTGGCTTGCACAAAAGGCTCCATCCCAAGCCTTCAGCATTGCAATCCTGGGTTACCCTCAGCTTCCTGGCGCTACTCTGGGGCTTGCATAGCACTGGAAAAGGGGAGGCCATCGGAGGAGCCCCACGCCGCCCCCGCCTACTTCTGCTTCACCTTTGCCAGGGCGGCAGGTGCTAAAAGAGTGCTGTCCTCAGCTGGGCAGTCCCAAGCGTCCTCCTGAAGCCTCCCTGCCACTTGGTTTGGGGCGGACAGCTGCGCGGCTCATGAGTTGCAAACAATCCAGGGATTTGGGCAGCCTTTACGTGGCCAGTATGCGTGCAAGATCCCTGGTTTCCGAGGCTGGCAAGGCTCAGAGTTTGGGCTCTGGTGCACTCTTCTCCTCCTGGGCAGTGGCTGCGTGTGCACAACGCCTCCAGCTCACTGAGTGTGGCCTGCTGATCTTGGCTGGCGGCGGCTCTGACCTGATCCTCGCCGCCAAAGCTGTGGGCAAGAACCGGCCATGCTGATCCCACTTCATGGCTGCGCAGACAGAGCCCGCACCTGGCACAAGGGGCTCCTCGTCCCACCCCCACCTCATACTGGGTACATGGAGGAAAAAATAAGACCCCCCTGAAAAGAAGCCCTAGACTGTTTTTTGGAGATCAAAAGAAAATAAGACCCGGTCTTATTTTGGACAAACACAGATATATATACCTTTAATCTTCAGTTATTTTGCTTAACCATGCTGGTTAAATCATGAAATACAGAGCACAGTCTATTAATATACTTTATACAGATTTTATGATTTATCATCATCATTCACATATCCTGGAACTCAAAATGGTTTAAGTTATTTTCAGCCCAGTTATTATCTTACAATGTAAGTTTCTGGTAGCATTTAACGTGTCCTAAAATTAAGACATGCATTATTGTCTTTAACAAGTTGGAAAAAGTAAAGTTCTTTGATCAGAAGCCTTCAGAGAACACCCATATAATTCTGGGTGCATAAAAGGCATATCTCAAATCCTTATATTCTGTACTCATGATGAATTTCTGTTTTGTTTTAATGGTTTTTTGCAGGTGCTCTGGGAAAAAGAACAAGATTTCAGGAAAAATATGTAGCCCAACTGATACTAGATGTTCAGAGGAAAGATAACATCCTCCTTCCTTACCGAGAACTTAGTCCAACACCTACTCCACTAGAAGATTTAACTAAGGTATTGAAATGAAACAAAAGTACTACCGTGTTTTCCCGAAAATAAGACCCTGTCTTATATTTTTTTGCCACCAAAAAAGACACCAGGTCTTATTTTTTGGGGGGGGGAGGGGTTGACCTCTGACTCACCTCACTTGTGCGCTGGAGAGGCCTTCAGGAAAGCCTTGCCGGTTGCAGAAGAAATGACCAGCAAGGTAGATGTCAGGGTGTGTGAGGCTTGGCTGCAACTGTCCGAAGGTAAGTAATAGGGCAGCTCCACCCCCCCATTGTAGTTTAATTTTTACCCGGGCACCCTGGAGTGGGTGAGTCTTAATTAGGGCTTATTTTGGGGAGGAGTAGGGCTTATATTGGGTGCACGTGTAAAAATCAAGCTAGGACTTACTTTCAGGATAGGTCAGGGATGGGTTCTACTTACCTTTACTACCAGTTCACAATGGGTGCGTGCACAGAAGCTTCTGCACACGCGCAAATCATCCTTTACTACCAGTTTGCAAGAACCGGACAGAACCAGGAGCAACCCACCACTGGGGTAGGTCATATTTTGGGAAAAACACTGGTATCTTTTGGAAGGGTCTGCCTTTGTGTGGATTGTCACTTGTTTTGTGAACTATTTGTACTCCTTCAATTACAGTTTTGTTTTCCCCATCCTTTAATTAACCAGTACTTAATTGACTATGAGATTAAGTCTGTTCTGCACCTGGAAATAAGTATGAATGTGTTTGCATCTGTTTGCACTCCCCTCACCCAAAAATTCTAAGTGATTTACCTGTCATTAAAATGGACAGCTAAGTTAACAATCTTAACAGACACCTTATCAGGTACCTTAAACCAACCTCCATTCAAATAAGACCCCAGTCAAGATTTCCTTTCAATACAGATTTCGATTTCAGTAGAACTGTATTCATCAAGGGCACAAGTGGAAAGAAAAATCCTAAAAATCTATCCCCTGCCGAATTTCCAATAATTATTGTACACATAGTGGCTACATATTTAAAGGAGAGAAGGATATATATTACAAAGGAAAAATGTGGTAAAGCGCTTTCCAGTAAAGTTTATTTGTGGCAATAGGAATTTTCTCAAGAGAAATTCTTCATAAGTTTTCAAGAAAACTCAGGATTTCTGGAGTATAGTTTGAAGACCACTAACTGGAATATATTTCCAAACCATTCTGTTTCTTCAAGGAACTTTTTATTCTTTAGCCACAGCCCTGGTGTTCTGTCAGCTCTCCTAGTTTTTGCTTAAATCATCTTCAACACAGTTGCTGTTGTGCTAGCCAAGAGAATCCTTCTCTGTAGCTTAGTCAAGTGGAGAATTTATGTTCCTGGCAAAGCTAAAATCAAATGCTGCTGTTCAAGATATTTTTTATGTTATTACTGCAACTTCCAAACAGATGAACAACTTTAGATGTAATTTATCACTTGTGTATATTTCCCCACAGAATTATGCTTTAGATGATGACACCGTACTAAATGAAATAAAGTTTGAAGAATCTCATCAGAACCAGATGCCTGACCTCTGTGCAGAAGAACTTGCTGTAATCCTTGGCGTTTGGTAAGATGATAAACTTGGTTCCATCATTGTCAGTGCCCAGTTATAGCGAAAAAGCAAAAGTCGCGAGGCTGGTTTTAAGAAAAGGCTAAAAAAACACACCTCAAAGTAATATCTCTATTGGGCAAGCAAACACAGTGTACCAGCTTTTAGAATTCTCTAAAACCTCTTAAATTATGTGATGATAAATAATATAAAAATGTTGGGTACGTCCATGTATGTGGTTTGAGGGAAAAAGCTCATGTTGAAGCCATCAAATGTGGGAGGAATTGGAAATATTAACTTATGTTAGATGCTTCTCTGAATCCAGAATGATTGGAATAAGGAATACATAATGGCCTATTTTTGAAGAGAGAGACAGGAGGTTCAGATCTTTAACCATCATGTGTAAAAGATGATATTTTGAGAGTTGGCATATATTTTGTCAATCTAGTCTTGTGCACAAGTTATTGTGGTAAGAGCAATGAAACCTAGGTTTAAGACTACCTTCTCTATGGATGTTTTACCAGGTGACTTTTGTGTCTGATGTGGGAAAACTGGGAGTGCTATCTATACTACCTTGAGTTTCTGGAGGAAAGGCAAGATAGCAGGAACAAAACTAAACATATACATTAGTTTTGGTAGCTTTGTTATATGTTTTGAGCCTCTAATTAACCATCTGCAAGGATTGCAAGCTTAGTACTAGCGCGCGTGCGCGCACACACACACAAACATTCTTTCCTAAATGCTTAGCTGAGTAGAACTGAATGTTTGGAATTTCAGAAAGCTACATAAATAAAAATGTATTATTATTTTTTTTTCACAGTATAGATTTTCAGAAAAACAATCCTGTCCATAAACTCACAGAAGAGGAGCTGCTTGCTTTTACATCAGTAAGTAACTGGCCAGTTTTTTCCTTCTAAAAATGTTTTCATGTGTTTATTGAATGGATCACATGTTGATTTGCTGGCTGTTTCTCAGAGAAGGAGCTTTTATGTACATGGGGAATATTATATAGAAAGAAGCAAAGACCTATCTAATCCATTTTCTGGTTCCTATCCAGGTGCAAATAGAAAGTCCACAGACAGGACATAAGTGTGCTATCTCCCTTCCATTCATATTTTCTTGCAATTAATATCAAGAGGCTTGATGCCTTTATCCCTAGAGATAATATATTGATAGCCTTATTCTGTATAAATTTGTCTTTCTCCCTTTTTGGTCCCAGGAAATCTTATAGTAACATACTCCCCATGTCTGCTATACTCTGTATGAAGACATTTGATTGATTTAATTTGTCCTAAACCTTCCATATAATTTCACATGCTTCAGTTGTGCCCCCATCTGTCTTCATAGCAAGAGTTGCTTCAGCCATAATGACGTGAGATACAATTTTCTGTATCGTCTCCAAATCCATAATATTCTTTTTGAGATTTAGTGACTAGAATAGTATAAACAGTGTTCCCAACATATATAATAAAAAATGCTTCTATTTGATCTTTTTGCTAGAACTTAAATTGTGTTACTGCCATAAATGCCTATATTTCTGCTGCATGTATTTTATTAAACTGGTTTAAGCTGACTTTAAGTGAAAGAGCCTTGGTAGTACAGGGGTTTAAGGCACCCTGTTATTAAGCTTATTAAGACCAGCTGCCTGCAATTACTGCAGGGTTCGAATCTCGCCAAGGCTCAAGGTTGACTCAGCCTTCCATCCTTTCTAAGGTAGGTGAAATGAGGAGCCAGTTTGTGGGGGCAATAAGCTGACTTTGTATAAATATACAAAAGGATGAAGGCTATTGCTGAGCACATTGTAAGCCGCCCTGAGTCTTCGGAGAAGGGCGGCATATAAATCAAATTAAAAAAAAAAAATAGTGGTATTGTTATCCACTACTTTATACGAACAACTTTTTGTGCTTTGCAATTTGTTATGGGTTACACAGATGGAAACAGGCTGCCTGGCGAATTGAAGGTTATCTAAAGTAATAAAATGGATTTCGCAGTGTTTCTGGCTGCATTTCTACTGTATTGACTATGAAACCATAATTTTATGGTTTTGGTAATTGTCTTCTCATACAATTGTTTTGAATAAATTACTGTAGTTCAGCCCTTGAATCCCTGCTGACCAAGAATACAAATTATGATAAACAATAGGGATTGATCAACAACTGCTGAATTAAAACTGTTCTGGTCAGTAAAATATAGTCCATGCCTTCACAAAGTGTTTCCTTGGATCACTTTGACATGCTTCCAGATTCATTTTATAAGTGTTGCAAGGCAATTGTTGATGATACAAATTTTATGGCTCGTTTCGTTTTTTTTTTTTGTTTCCCAGAAAATAATAAAATATTAATAGAATGTAAGTATTTATTAATACATCTAATATGTTAGAATCCATGACAGATAGTCCTTAACTTACAACAGTAATTGAGCCTGCAATTAAGTGTTGTGGTCATTAAATGGGTTTTACAACTTTTTTCTGATAGTTGTTACGCGATTGCAGCAGTCGTTAAGGGAACACAGTAGTTGTTAAAGCAAACATGGTGGTTGTTAAATGAATCTGTTTTATTCATTGGGTGATTTTTGCTGGAAGTGAATATGGAATCCAGCAAAAAATGTCAAAAATCATAGTCATGCAACTGCAGGATGCTGCAAACGGCCATAAAGGTGAGCCGGTTGCCAAGCACCTAAAATGCGATCACATGACTGGGTGTGTGTACAGCCATCGGACCTTCGAAATTGGATCGTAAGTTCCTTTTGGAGGCGTCTATTGTAACTCTGAACGGTCTCCAAGTGAGCAGTCTTAAGTTGAGGACTATCCTTATTTTCAGAAATTGTCAGTTAAAAAATGGTTTATTTTCATGACTGAAATCCAGAAATATGTAGAGCAGGCTTCCCTGGCTACAGGGAAGAGTGGAGGTTGAAGTCTAAAATAATGGGGAGAAGGAGACGGTGGAAGATGGATTTAATTTTTCTGAAGAATTGCTGAGCCAGGAATTTCTCTTTGTCTGAATTTCTAGCTATTCTCTTGATATCCTTTTATTATGCCAGGATGTGTAGTAAACTATTTCTAAAATAGATAAGACAAAGAAAATATCATAAGGAACTCAGCTAAGGAGTAGCTGTTCCATCACCATCTTAGCTCTGCCTCTCGTTACTTCAGGAGATACAACCAAGACCATCACCAGAACACACGAATCCATTCTTCCCAAAATATACTACTCCTTATTATACTAAGAAGGCCTGATTAAGAATCTGGATTTATGAAGACTCGGTTGAATTTGGTACTTCAAATCTTTTAGATTTGAGCACTGCTGTTGGGGCATTCAGCAGGGAAGAACTATAATCACTATGTGTGCATTTAGTGGCTGAAGGGCAGCTTTGAAGTATGTTCTGCCACTTGTTCTGGATTTTCTTGAAGTCATCTTTTTTGTTGGGGCAAATAGACTGTAAAGGAAGCAAGTGGAAGAGTTTAGTCTGCCATCTAGTGGCTGATTGTTTTAAAAAAATAGAATTGTACAGTAGTATCACTTGAACTGTTTCATTTCCAAAGTTTTAGGTATGCATGGTTTACAGGTTGCTAAGAGTGGGCCATAATATTCATTGATAGATTTAATACTGAATATTTATTATGTGAATGTGTTTTATGATAAAAATTAGAGAAAATAGTTTTAAAGTGTCATAGCTTTGAGTGAATTTTCTAACACTTAATGCAATTCCTAACATTTGTCTCAGCCGCAAAAGTAGAGTTAAAATTTCAAGCCCTGAGGTAACTTTTTGTCAAGAGCTTCTTCAACATTTGTAAATTGTTATTTGCTTGGTTTATACAAAAAGAAAAAAACCAAACCCAAATATGGAAGGAGTATTGGTCAATGAAGTTAATGCCATGTTTGACCTCCTCTCCTCTATCAACATATTGCTATGTGTATGTGTGAGCAGGCATCTTCTCAGCCTACATGTGGATTCTTAAATCTGCAGGCTGGTTAGATGGTTGTCATACATTCATCAGATATCTGCTAAAATATACTTATTCTCAAGAAAGGAGACATTTCCCAGTACTTTGAAGTAATCTTAGCATTGGCATTTTAGGTCAGAGTCCTAATAATCATCTTTCATCTCAGAAATTCCTGATCAAGGAGTGTAGTGTATTTTGGGGGACCCACTGCATTTTAAAATATGCATTTGTTCTAATGTGTTGAATGCCTTCACTTGAAAACAGGGTGTCGAGTATTTACAGGGTATTATGTAATTTGTATTATGTAAATGTAAGATGCAGTGGCTCAGTGGCTAAGATGCTGAGCTTGTCGGTCAAAAGGTCAGCAGTTCAGCAGTTCGAATCCCTAGTGCCGCATAATGGGGTGAGCTCTTGTTACTTATCCCAGCTTCTGCCAACCTAGCAGTTCGAAAGCACGTAAAAATGCAAGTAGAAAAATAGGGACCATCTTTGGTGGAAAGGTAACAGGGTTCTGTGCGCCTTTGGCGTTTAGTCATGCCGGCCACATGACCACAGAGACGTCTTCGGACAGCACTGGCTCTTCGGCTTTGAAATGGAGATGAGCACTGCCCCCTAGAGTCGGGAATGACTAGCACATAGGTGTGAGGGGAACCTTTACCTTTATGTAATTTGGACTCTTGTTTAAAATATATGTATCATCTGTGGTGTCTCTATAGTTGTTCTTGGTGACCTAAATTAAAGCAATAAAAACCTCAGTAGAACTATAACATTCTAAAAAATTTAAATCTGTTTCTTTTTTAAAAAATGGTCGGTACTGTGCAGGGGTGGGTTCTGCTTACCTTTACTGGTTTGCAACGGGGCCGCAGAAGCATTTTCATGACGTCAGGGTCAGTGGGCAGAGCCTCCCGCTGATTTTACTACTGGTTCTATAGAACCGGTGTGAACTGGGGGCAACCCACCACTGGTACTGTGGTAGATAAATTTTATCTACCATAGTATCAACCATTCATTCAGCAACTGTTCTAAGTTATGACATCACTGAAAAACGAGACTTATGACTGGTCCTCGAAGGTTTGGCTGTTGCAACACTCCTGTGGACATGTGATCGCAATTTGGGCACTAGGCAGTTGGCTCAATTTATGTTGATTGCAATATCCCACAGTGATATGACTTTTGCAACTTTCCCTACCAGCTTCACACAAGAAAAGTCAATGGGGAAGCCAGCAGGAAAGGTTGCAAGTCATTACAATAAATTGTTTGCACGCCTCCCTGACTGGCATCAGCCACCTCTGTTGTACTCATGCATTCGGGCTTACTTGTCTGCCTGCTGGCCTACTTCCAAGGCACCTGGCCTGCTTCCAAGGCATCTGGAACTGTTTAATAACCGAGATCCTTGCTCAGTTAACAGTCATGTGTCATCACACTTTGCAACCGCATTGCTTAGTGATGAAAATTCCAATCCCTATTACTATCATTAACTGAGGACTACCTATATTTTCTGTTTCAATTGTACACAAATAGTCTTAATCAATAGCAATAGCAATAGCAATAGCAATAGCGCTTAGATTTATATACCGCTTCACCATGCTTTACAACCCTCTCTAAGTGGTTTACAGAGTCAGCATATCCAACAATATGGGTCCTCATTTTACCGACCTCGGAAGGATGGAAGGCTGAATCAACCTTGAGCCAGTGAGAATTGAACTGCCAGATTACCGGCAGTCAGCAGAAGTAGCCTGCAGTACTGCATTCTAACCACTGCACCATCACAGCTCGTAAAATTTCTCAGTGGAGACTTTCTAGAATTACATTCATGTTCAAGAGTAAGCTCTTTCCCAAGCTCTGCTTTACAGATATTTTGGATTATAGCTCCAGAAGTACAGTCCACCTACCTGACTTTTCTGAAAGATGCTGAGTACAAATTCTTGGACTATACAGGATTCT